AAGAGAAAATCACTCACTGCTCTTACCTAAATAACTTTTATAGCTTAAATAAGAATCAGTGCATATTGAATTCATAGAGTAAATACTAAGCAGTGTTGTATTTTTCCTTTTTATTACTCAGTTCCTAAACTCATGTTAAAATTATTACACTAATGTTAAAATGACATTTTTATGTAATGCTAGAATAAAACACTACCGTTCACTTTCAGAAGTTGTTGTAGGGGTGCTTTCTTCTCACAAAAATTGAAACATGTATGCTAGTTATATTAGAATCAGAATCAGAATGAGCTTTATTCACCACTTAAGTGTGCGCAAACACAAGGAATTTGTTGTGGTTTTACAGGAGCTCTTGATACATACAAACATACATACAAATAACCATATATATATGACACAAGATAGTTATAGAAGTTCACAGAACTGACTCAGCAACAGCTGAGTAAAACTGTTTCATCTGAGCATGTGGCACTTTAAGCATTATCGTATCGCATATCGCATTATTTAATGAGTTATCGCATACCGCATTTTTCTTCAATATCGCACAGCCCTACAGATGAGATATAAAATGAGGCAAAACCATTTATATCGATATACTTTGAAATTGTGAATGAATCTGAAAAAAAAAAATTCGGAGGACAGACTGAGCTGCTGCAGGAAAACAACACGATCTAGGTTCTCCTGAACATGAGACATGCTTTATATGAACTATAATATAATTACTATGTTCAGATGAGTGAAACTGTGTTCCTCCTACCTCTTAGCAGGTAACATTTAACTTGTTTTTCTTTATCGTTTTTTTTTTCACAAATTCTGATTGTAAAAAGCAATAGTTTGTGGTTTATAAAGTAGATATTTCAAACCCTTTTTGCACAATGTATAGCATAACCTAGAGAGATACATTCTCTATATTTGTTTTCACAGCGTTCAATTCGAGTTATCTGATTAATTAATTAATTGAAAAAATAATAAACAGATTATGCCATAAACAGGTTGCATTCGAAAAGGAGAGCACTTCATATCTCTTCCACTATATGCAGCATCATCATAAACTGCAGTATGAAGAGTAGGGGTGTCGAAATTAATCGTTTTTACGATGCATCGCGATGCAGACGAGTACGATTCGGTATCGGTTCAGTAATAGACCATAACCGATTATAACGTACTGACGCTTTTCTGACGTCATTTGTCGCATACGTGCTTTGTCGCGTTAGCATACAATGGCGGAGGGAGGCGAGACGCGAGTGTGAGTAATTAAAAATGCTCCAGCTACTTTAAAAGCCGACATCTGGGCACATTTCGGCTTTTACGAACAACCTGGTAAGCACAACCTGGAGAAGAAACACGCTGTGCCTGTGTGTAAATCATGTCACACACAAATAAAATATGCAGGGGGTAATGCCACTAACTTGAGAAACCACGTCAGGTTCAGTTCATATATCTGACTGCTTGTATTTATTGACAAAATTGTATACATTAAGTAAAATTGAAAATTGAGGATGCAGTGCATCGTCGAATTGAACCGAATCAATGACATGATAATTGTAATCGAACCGAACCGTGAGACCAGTGTAGGTTCACACTAATCAAGAGTGTGTTAAAACAGACTTTTGATATGAAACAAAAGCAGTTGCAGCTTTATTTACCCATGGTGTGCTTTATGAAAAGAAAATGAAACATTCAACCCGATTTCCAGAAAATACAGCGCTATATAACGTGCATCACCTTTCAACCTAAAAATACAAAGACATGATTTTTGGTCCACATCATCCAAGCCTACTTGAAAGTCAGGCAGTTTATTCATTGTAACATATATTTAGCAACTTGATTGAAATCCTCGTAGTTAGAAAAACACTGCTCTCTTTGCCAAACACACATGCATATAATCCGATTAGTTATATCTAGTAGTATATTTAAAAATGTTCATTCCCCAAAAAGCTACAACAAAGTTGCAACAAACTGCTTTTCAACACTGATAAAAGCAATGGTTGAAGTAACATTGATACATATTTAAAGGGCTTTTCCATACAGGCTGAAGTCAGGTCTGACTGCACTGACCCACATGGTCATTTAAAATCACAGCACTTAAGTTTTCAGCTCTGACTGCGATTGACCAACAGGTCAAAGAATCCATGAGGGAAACAGTGAAAGAAACACTGCAACAGTTGGGCAATATATCAGACTCAGTGGCCTCATATCAGACAAGCTTTACACATAACTAATACTGTTTATCCCAGGGTTTCTGCAGGCTTTGCAAAGGTAAATTTAAGAGTTTTTAAGATTTAAGAAACGCTGTATTAGCAATGCTTTAAAGTTTGAAAATACAACTTCCAACATGTCTCTATTTATTTTTAATTCTTTTATTAGAAGAAAAAATTTAAATGTATGACTTTTTGTCATCCACTAGTCTATGAAAATAATTTTTACTGTACCTTCTGATCACACTGCAAAAAAAAAGCAATGCTTTTTTTCAGCATTTTGCCTCATTTTCCAGATTCTTAAATCAAAACACATTTACTTGGGAAGCAAAATTGCACAAAATAAAAAAAGTCTTGTTTTGTGAGAAATTGAGGCGGACAAGAGTTTATGATTAAAACAAATATTTGCCAATGGGCTCAGAAAAATCTACTTCATTTATTGGAAAAACAAGTTTTCATACCCCGTTGACAATATTTGCTTGTTTTAAACATAAACGTTGTTACATTTTTCAGAAAACAGGACTTTTCGATAATTGTATTGAGGAAAATATTCATTTTTTGAAGCACATGCAACATTTAATGCCATCATTTCATGATTTTCTGTTTACATTCCAGACCTTTTTAGTCCTCAATTTGTGGAATAGTGAATTAAGATCTCGTTAAGACCCGCAGAAAGCTTGTATCATAATCCAGACAAATAATAATTTGAGACCTGTGGGAATGCAGACTCCAAGCACACAAAAGTGAATTCATATTCACATGCTAATAAACAGCAGCTCCTCACAATCTGTTTAATTTAACCCAGTAATACTGGTCAATATTAGCTTCACTGCAGAGATAATATAACAGATGACATGCTGTAGTCTAATGACACTCGATGATTCAACAAACTGACATGAAAATCATCAGCCACACGTTTCCTGCTATTGCTTAACAGTTAGTAAGACAGACATTAGTTTAATAATTAATCAGGAGGAACAATACGCAACACGCAAATAAAAGCAGAGTAAACTCTAACAAGTCATGCATTTAAATGCAATCTACGACACCCATCCCCCAAGCTCCTTCAACTTCTTCTGGCATGTGAATGAATGCCTCTGCTGAATTCGTTCGTAACCTGCTAATGCATGCATTAAGAACGCAACGTTAAGAGAAAACATCTTGACATCCTCGTTAGGTGCTGCATGCGCATGCACAACAGGTAACGCATGCTTATGCAGAGGCGATAAAGCCGTGCGCCCGCCTTTCCCTCCGGTTTTTGACAGCCCCGGTGGTTCCGCCTCAAGCAGCCGTGCGATTCATCCCAAATGCATGCGTTTCATAATCATACCTCACTTTCCACGACATCGTGATACGCAGGCGGAGGATCAAACCCTCCGGTGCCCGTGCGCCCGCTGCTCTCGCCGTCTCCGCTGGGGCCGGAGCCCGGGGATGGGCCGCTTTCCATCGGCTCGTAGCCGTATCCGAGTCCCGGGCTTTCGTTGGTGAGCAGCGCGACAGCCTCGTTGATGTCGTTTTTGGCGAGGCGCAGGGCTTTCCGGATGGCCACCGGGTCTGGAAAACCCATGCATAACAGCGTGGTCGTATGCTGCTCCTCCTCTGTCTCCATCATGGAAGTGTGTCGATGATCCGGGCTTCAGTGAGGGGACACATAGCACAGGCATCCGGCTGTGCACGCCGCCATGTTTACAGTCGGTGTTGCTGCTGGAATCCTGTCACGATGGATTCCCGTCACAGGCAGAAGGCAGCGGGCTGAGAAGCGGGCCACGCCAATAGATCGCTAGGTGGGTGTAGACGGGAATACTTTTCAAAATAAAGGTCAAATAAAAAACCGCATTCATACTACTACTACTACACATAAATAACACTAGAAGAAAAATGCATGTATATAAAAAATAATGATATTTAAAAAGAAAACAATACGGAGCAATACAATTAAATTAATAATACAGAAAAGTAAATATATGTATATATAATATATGTATTTATTTATATTATTTATATTTATTTATATGTATACTAATTTTCACACACATATGAATGATCAGGGATATATTATATTATATATTATATCCCTGATCAAATTCATATGTGTGTGAAAATTAGTCAAATATGACTACAGTTTCTACAATAGTACAATACAAAAGTATAATATAATGTATTTTTAAGCAGATTATTTATTGATCAGCTATTTATTAGTTTATTTGATCAGTTTATTGTGCATCACATGACTGGGTTTGAATTTAATTACATTTCATTTAAAATTAATTATCTCGACTCTCTCTCTCTCTCTCTCTCTCTCTCTCTATATATATATATATAGAGAGAGAGAGAGAGAGAGAGATAGCATTTATAATCCACACAAAAATACATGAAATAATCATTATTTTGAAATGCACTCGGCCGGAAATACGCTTCATAAAAGCTTATTGTTCTTTGCTTCACTCTTTTTAAATTAGCAGAGTTGTCATGCAGCCCCACCCATATCTGTATATGAAACGTGTTTTTTGACCTATACTTTATTAATTATAACCCTTAATGATACACCTTTAGATTTCACATCTCGTATTTAGGAACTGTAGCCTATCTGACATGCATGTCAAAAAGAATATTACATACAAAAGAAGCAAGAGTATCGAATCTGACTACTTTATCATTTTTAACATATTCTCGTAACGCTTCATAAAAAAAGTCTTATATCAGTTTCGTTTCACCAGAATTAAAAAAAACGATTCGGTTTTATTTCCCTGCATAAGTCACGTGAAACTCGCTGGTCATGTGATCATGTGATGTGAAAATGGCAGCTTCGGGGGACGAGGCCGCGGCGATGGAGAGCATCAGTAAAGCATCGGTTCCCCCGACCGACCTCAACCTCACCGCCGAGCCCGAGCACAAGAGAGAGGCGGCCACAAACGATGCGACAGAGAACCAAAAAGCCAAAAGACCCAGTAATAACAGTAAGCTGCTTTTGTAAACAGATCAGCCTGTGTGCAAGTCACTGCAACTTCATCTATTACGATTCTCTTAGCTTTCCAGTGCTGCTGTTGGTCCTGTTGTGTTTGTGTCTTAATTTTGGGTTAATGCAACCTGTTTTGGGCTATTTGACTTGTCCTGTTTCCAAAGAGAATGATGCGTTTTGTGTACATTTGTAACTAGACTGTGTCTTAAAACCCAGTAAGCTTTGCACTTTTGGGCATCAAATACATTTAGTGCTTAAAAATTAAGCCTAGGTAGGCAGCTCACTAGTTTTCAGTGCACTAGAAGTGTTTGCTGTCTGTAACAGATGACGGAGGAGTGGAGACAGCAGAGGAGGCCACTGAACCCGCTGAACCTGATATCAGTGAGCTCTGCAGAGACATGTTTGACAAAATGGCAGTTTTCTTACAGGGAGAGCTCACCGGTAATGATAATAAAAGAACAGCAATTATTAAATTTCTCTCTCTTTCAGTTTATATATAGACTTCTAGAACTTTGTGTGTAATGTTTGTTCCGTTTACTCAGCAACCTGCGAGGACTACAAACTCCTGGAGAACATGAACAAACTCACCAGTCTGAAGTACATGGAGATGAAGGACATATCCATCAACATCAGCCGCAATCTACAAGATCTCAATCAGAAATGTGAGAAATGGGGCAGCAATATATAAAATCAGCCAATGTATGTTTTGTTCATGTAACATTAAGTTACATTAAGTTCAAAGTACACTTATGTTAGTGTTTTATTTACATTGCAAGCGTTTGTTTTGTGATTTGCTAATAAGTGAGTATTCAAGCCGTATATTGATCATCTTAAATGATGTTCTCATTTTTGGCTTTAGATGCCAGTTTGCAGCCTTATCTGGATCAGATTAACCAGATCGAGGAGCAGGTTACAGCTCTGGAACAGGCTGCTTATAAACTAGACACGTATTCAAAGAAACTGGGTGAGTACAAAAATCAACAACTCTCTTTTTTTACTGTTTTATTATTTGCTTTTATACAGTTCAAATAGTTAATTACAAATTATGAAGGACACCATTAGGTTTGTCTGAAGTCTGAACTGTGAATTATTTTGATTGAACCTACCCTAAACGTACTGAAAACAAAAGGTGAGTTGATTGTCGTGACAATAGGTTGCTGCAGTGTAGGCCAACCCAAAGATAGCATCATCTTGATTCCTTTGACAAAAAAAAAAAAAAAAAAACAGAAGGATTTTTCCGTTGGCTTTGTTCATCATGATAATCTTCACAAATGAACACAATTTTTACCAATTCTGAAGTCTAAATACAATTAACAGAAGCTAAATATAGGCTATTGGAACAGTTTGCAAGAGCACGACTACAAACTCAGTAAGGCTATAAAAGTGGACTAGTATGTAGATAAGTTTAACTCTTTGATTTGATGTTTAATGTTACCAAATGCTTTTTTCAAGACAAGCTGTAGAAAAACACACACACAAGTGGTTATTACTGGTGTATTTTACGTTGTAGAATAAAACATGAAAATATCTTGAGCTTGTGTTCACCACAGACCTTATTTCAAGCATTTAACTAAACACCCGGTCAAAAAAACCCATTGACTTCAGTATGATGGATCCAGAAGTGCTAAAATGCAGAAATATGCAATATTTCTGGGTTTTGCCCAACAAAAACGTCATCCCTGCTGCACTCTACGAAGAACCACCTCTGTTTTGTTGAACATTTGTATTTTTAATTATTTTCAAAATCTTAACTAACCTAACTAAAATGTAATTTTGTGAACTTGTGGAATAAAAAAAAAAAAGTGTGACGTGAATGGTATTACGTATTTTAATATGGTGCAGTTAACAAACGTACCTCACATTTTCTACCTTAAATGACTTTTTATACCGCTGAATTTGTGCAATTATGATTATTTGCAGCTGCTGTTAGATGATATAGTCATGCAAACGAACAAATGCAGTTCTTCTTATGTTTTGTTTTATAATATCTATGAATTGCTGTGATTCAAACCTCTCTCTTCATATCCACCAGAGGGCATACGAAGCCCACACATAGTCTGACTCAATCTTTAACCTGAATTTGACTAGAAGCCACAGTGAAATGTATGGTGAGGCGCTCATCCACAGAGATAGTGGCCAATGTATCGTATGTTCAGGCTCCAATGTCAGGATACCAAAATAATCAGCATGGAGCCATTTCATTTACTTCATAGACAGTGTAACAGTCCATAACCATTACTGTATTGACCCACATTCATTTAATAACTTTACTATTCTGTAGTGTCTTATTTAATATGAAACATTTAACAGTACACGATATGATATAATTTCTTTGACATATTTGATATTTTCGCAATTTGAAATAGTCTAAAAGAACAAACCAAATTTGTCTCTTTCTCACTTTGATTTTGGCCACACACACTTGCTGTTTATAACGTCACAATGTTTTTCTCTCTACCTAGAAAGTTATTCTCACTCCCTTGATATATTTGCTCTTTAAACTTAAACACACTTGACACATAAACACAACATTGAGCCAATATAAAGACTGTCTCTACTCGCTGATAGCAGGTTTTATTTATCTTTTAAAGAAATGATACGCTGTCCTTCACTTTACATTTTTTTTTTTATTTATTATGCAGTTGTGTGGTGCTGGTCCTGATGTTCCCTTGGCCATATCTTTCCTTTTTCCACAAACAGGTGCTGCTTTGCCTTTTTAACCTCAGAAACTGGAAAGCTAGACTGTAAATTATTTGTTTTGTGTCTCTACTCGCTGATAGCAGGTTTTCTTTATCTTTTAAAGAAATGATACGCTGTCCTTCACTTTACATTTTTTTATTTATTTATTATGCAGTTGTGTGGTGCTGGTCCTGATGTTCCCTTGGCCATATCTTTCCTTTTTCCACAAACAGGTGCTGCTTTGCCTTTTTAACCTCAGAAACTGGAAAGCTAGACTGTAAATTATTTGTTTTGGTTGCATCGGATGAATGTAGTACTAGGCGGCGGATGGATAAATAATGTTTTTCTTTTTCTTTTTTTTACCTTTTTTCTCAATTCTGAGTTTACATCTCGCTTTTTTCTTTTTTCTCTTTTGTTTCTGCCATTTTTCTCTCGCAATTGCAAGTTTATCTCACAGTTCAGACTTTTCTTCTCAGATTTACAAGTTTATATCGCAATTGTGAATTGGCGTGTGTCAATTTTGACATTTTTCTCAGAATTGCAAGTTCATCATTTTGACTTTTTATTAGAATTTGGAGTTTATACGCATCTCATGCTTTTGACTTTTTCCTCAGAGTTCGGAGTTTATATCACAATTCTGACTTTAAAAAAATATATATATCTTAATTGCAAGTTTGCAGTTGTATTTTAAATTGTTTTCAAAATCTTAACTAACCTACATAAAATGTCAATTTGTGAACTTTTGGAATAAAAAAAAGGGAAGTTTATATTTCACAATTCTGACTTTTTCTCAGAATTCAGTGTTTATTTGTCATGTTTCTGATTTTTCTTATATATCTTAATTCTGACTTTATTTCCTGAGAATTGCAAGTTTGCAGTTCTGACTTTTTTATCTGAATTGTGAGGTATCAACTCAGAATTCTGAGGAAAAAGTTAGAATTGTGAGATGATTGTTTATTTAACTGTAATTCCATCAAAAATTGAAGTCGTCTGCCTCTGTCAGTTCTGATTACTATCAGTTCTTCATCAGTCTGAAGTTACTCTAGTCCTCAGAGATCAGTTTACTGGAAATGTGTATGTAGGTGGCGGAGGGGTCTGTGGTAATCTTTGTGTGTAAGCCTCACATACATCTAATGCTATGCTGTGCGTATGTTGTGTTTACGGTAATTAGATCCCGGAATGCTGCTTATAACATACACTTGAAAGGAAAAGTAACTGAGCACAATGACTCATTAATCAACACTTCCCCCAGTCCACGTACAGCTGGATTTATGCTGTTAGTGGGCTTCAGTGATGAGAGATGCTCATTGGTTAGTTCCCCCCACCCTCGGGGACTCTGTTTCTCCAGTGCTTATATGTAAAACAAGCTTAGTTTCAAACACAGAGCATGTCTTTTACAAACATCTGGCATATATCTATGATTACATTCATATTTTGTGAATCACGAGTTGCTGTGTTTGCTGGCTGAACTGGGTGCTACACCCTCCTAAATAGTTCTAGCATCGCGGGGCAAATCCCGGGCAGAGCAGCAGAGGTCATGGATACAGCCGTTTGTATGCATGTGGATATAGTGCTTAATCACATTTTTTGACAAGACTAATTATGAGCCCCTGTTCGAGTGGGTAATTAGTGTTGAGTGGCGCTAATGTTCTAGTTGCCTCCGGGGCTTTTAAGTCCGCTAACATGTTCTAACCTACGCACTTTGAATTACTGCCAACACTGGGTTTCTGGCATTATTCAGGACCAGCACATTGAGTAATAGGCCTACTTTCTTTCTTTTTTTTTTTTTTAAAGGTATGTTTTATACATATGGTTTAGCATATGATACATTATGACAGGCAGGACCTTTTAGTGATGCAGCTCCAAAAATTATGCATTTGTACTGTTAAGGATATACAGTATATCACACAAGCACTGCTGACAGATTAGACCAACAGTGCAACTGCGAATGTGATATTGCTTTAACAAAACAGTACATTAAACAAGTTAATATTGAGTAACTTACATTTTAGGCAAACAACTGCTCCGTCAACGAAAATAGTTACTAGTACAATCAACACAAAGTGGTTGCATTTCTGAATGAATCAGTTAAGTGAATGAATCAATGACACTCAGTCACTTGTTTATTGTTTCTCAAAGCAGTGTTGTTGAACGAATTGGTTGAGTTCATGATTCAGTGATTCACTAATAAAGACAATGTCTATATCTGAATATGCTACTAAATAGGAAAAAGAAAAAAAAAGTATTTTAAAGAGTATGTCCGAATTCACAGTATTCATAAAATAGTAACCAAAACGTACCCAGATGAATTGCTGCTACTTCCAGCGAGATTCTGAAGTGCACATCCATCGGACACTATACTATCCCATGAGGCCACAGGAGAGGATTGGGGATAACTGACACTGGAAGGTCACATGACAATGACGACATGATGAAGTATGTCTGGATTAAGTACATACTACACACATTCATACTATATAGAACATACTTTTTAATGGTCACTAAGTAATTACTTCAAAATAAGTACCAACTTAGAGAGTATGTGATTTTAGACATAGCCAGTCACTTCAATGGATCAGAGTTTTGAATGAATCAGTTGAAATAAAGTTGTTAAAAGAATAGTTTGAGTTCAAGATTCAATGATTCACTCATAAAGACACTGGCTCAATTTGGAAAAGATAGAGACAAGAAATACAGAAATGGGTAGTAGAGTAGTATGCTGTTCCAAATTCAGTCACGTGATTGTTCCTGAAAGAAATCAGTGAGTTGAATGAGTTATTCAATTAATCGCTCCTAAGGACAGTCACTTGCTGCCACCTACTGGCAGATCTCAAGAATAAAAATGTGCAGTTAATTGTAAAGAGACGTGGAAGATCAAGGTATGACATTTTAATGAAAAATGATGACGTCAAAAAAAAAAAGTTGCAAAATGAAACATATGCATGGATGATCCATTCACAATAAGATTAATAACATCCATCCATCGATTCGGGAAGTCAAAAACATGAATTTAAAGAACAGTTTGGGGGAATTTTTTTATTTTAACAAAAATATAAACCACTATTATACAGCTTAATGTGTCTAAAACAAACACTGGCAAGCGCAGTGATACAAACAGTGAAAAGTCAGACTTGGTTGCTGTTGGACTGTTACATCAGCAGTCTTGGAACACAACTCGACCAATCAAGTTTGAGGACCGGAACGAACCGTTGTATAAATGAAGTTCAATGCCAAATCCTAATGTGCTTTCTACTCTCTGTATGAAATATACACTAATACTGACACCTTCGATGTCATAACACAAAAAAAAGGTGAAAAGAGGATTATTTCACTCAAGACATGTGCCAAGGCCAACACAAATACTGTGTCTGAACTATCTAAGTGTATTTCAGTGAAAGAAAATGGCAATATGTCTAAAAGCAGAGGATCTCAGTGTTGTAAATGGCTGATTGCCCGATTCCACCACAGAAAACACATTAGCGCACCACAAATGTGACATGCATGAACTCCTTCAACCTCAATAGATTTTTCACCGATGGGTTCAGAAGGAACACAGAGCTCGTAAAGTCGTGTGGTGTTCACCAATCATTCAGAATCAGTATTCCTGACTCTGAGACACTTTATAGAAGATGTGGCGAAAAATCAAGCGTAAATATTCTTCACATTAGGCAGACATTTTTATTTTTCCTCTTTGAGAATTTTCCTCACAAAATAATGTTCCAAAAACTGACCATGGCTGTGAAAACGGGGGAAGTTTATTATATGAAAAACAACCAAACCTTGACTACTCAATGGCTTCTGCCTACCGAATACAAGCAAACAAATATTTTGGTTGTTGTGTACTTACACACATATGGTTCCCTGTGCCGGCATATGACTCACCATCCGACAGTTGTGTTTA